GTGAGCGCGTCCACACACACGCGGGACAGGGACGGGGGCGCCCTCGGCCCCGCCTGGGAGCGAAACTCAAGTCCTCGCCCCCGCGCCGGGCGGGCCGAGGAAGCCGCTGGGTCGGCCGGCGCCAAGCCCCTCGCGCCGCCGCGCGGGCTTTTATTTCGGGCGAGGAACCGCGTCTGTGCGGGGCTTTATTTTTATATAAACAAATGAGAGCCGAGAGCGTTGGGGAAAGGGGAACTAAGAGCTGAGGCAGCAGCCGCCCGGGCGCAGGGCGCTCCCCTCCGCCTGCCTCCGCCTCCCCTGCCCCGAGAAGCCGACCCGCCGCGAGAAACACTCGCGCCGCCCGGGGCGGGCAGGAAGGTGTTTAAACACCCAAGGTGTCGTCTGGACTTGCCCCGGGAAGATCTGATTTGAAACCGTACTTAGAATCCAGCGTGGGGGAAAAAAAAGATTGCCTGAATCCAGGCTCCAACAGCAATCCCGGATCTTTGTATTTGAGGGTGGAAGATCTGGGAAATCAATGCATATCTATCTATCTATCTATCTATATGTACATATGCTCTGATTTCTCAGATCTCCCCAATACAAAGATCCATATATCTATAGCTGCAGATATATAGATATAGATATACAGATATACATATATACGTAGACACACACACATATATATACATATACAAATATATATGTATACATAGATACACACTCATATATACACACACACAGAGAGACACACATATACAAATATATATACACACATATATATACATATACAAAGATATATATCTACATACATATACATATACAAATATATATATTCAAATATATATATATACACATAGACACATACACATATATACACAAATATATATATATATACACACACACAAATGTGTGTGTGTGTGTGTGTGTGTGTGTACATATGCTTTGATTTCCAGGGGCGTGGGGCATTTTTCTTTATCAAACGTTGGGTGGTGGGGGGGTTGTATTTTTTTTTCCTGTTCTCGTTTAGAAAGCAGGTGCACGCCTTTGCAAACAGAAATGTGTGTGGCTAGGCACACACGCTCTTTCCCCCACACTCGCCTGCATTATGTAATGTGCACATGCCTGAGAAACAGATTTTAAAGCATTTAGCAATGTCGTTTGGGCAAGAGGAGAAAATGCCCGTTTCGGACGACGCATGTTTTTGTAAATCCTAATGCACCCTGAATTGCGGAGTGTCGATTTGCGCCAGGAAGAGGTTGTCTTTTTCTTCCCCTTGCCTTTATAAAGATTTCAAGCCGGAGGCTTTCCTTGTGGGTGAAGGGCGTCCGATTCCACAACGTGGTTGTCTGCAGAGCACAGCCCCCCAGCACAGAGGGACAGGGGATTTTCAACGTGTTTTCAAACAGTTTCATCTGGAGCCAGTCACAATAACAAACAAAGGGACCCAGGCAGCGAGAATTGAGAAATGGCAGTGTTTTCCGAAGAAGAAATATCGTCTCGGTGCTTTTGGTTCTTTTGGTTTCATATGGCTGCTTCACAGGAACTTTTCCCTTCCTGAGCTCCTTTGAAGATAGGGTGGAGTGGCAGCAGTATCCCCTCCCCCCCCCCCCCCAAAAAATAAAAAACTACACCCGCCCTAAATATAGTTAAATCTCGAGCTTAAAGATTCACTTTCTGCCTTTTTAACCATAATAGAGGCAGGTAGGAGTTTAGTCCACTAGAAAATACCTTCACCTCCCTTTCACACGGTGCGAGAACATTTTGCATAAATGTATCGTTTACCATTAAATCGCTATCGGTCTTTCTCACTATTTTTCCACACACTAAATATGCCAGAGAGGGGCTTTCGCTTTTCTAAAACTGTATCCACTGAAGCATCCACCTATTCTGCACTCAGGGGAAAAAAAAATAAGGGGTCTAGATTAAGAAACTATTTTGATACCAAGTTGAGCTGCAGTGGCAGATAGCAAAGTGCGCGTGGCTTAGCTGGCTTGTGGAACAAGTAGATTTTAGACAGGCATGAATATTTCAAAATTAATCACATTTACTATAACAGTGAAGGAGAGTCAAGTGAAAAAAGCTTTTATTTAAAATAATTTTGAGTCTCATATTTTAATTTTCTGTTAAAAATGAACATCTTTTCCTGATTACAATTTCAAGGCCTACATTTGTGTGCATGTGCATTGCAGCCACACACAAAATACATGCTTGTGCACACAGATATGGGAAAGCATGATGCAAGCATGCCAGAAAAACAAAAAAAAAAAACACATAGAGGAATGTTTACTTCGGCTGGAAAATTGGACTGGTACAAATTCACAGTATTTGAAGTGCCATCGTTTTCGGTTTTTAAAGGAATGGAAGTAGTATTTCCCAGAGTGCAGTCTCAAAAAAAAAAAAAAAAGTAAATGATTGCCTGAAACCGAGTTCTCCTTTATTCTTGAGGCCTTTTGACCATTGTCTTTACTTAAACTGCGCCTAATTATTACTACTGCTCCTGTGATATAATTTTAAAGAACACCCTATAATTAAATATTTTCCCTCGAACAGTCCAGCAGTTTCTTTTTCCTTTAAAAAAACCCCAAAACAAATATAAAACGATATATTTTAAGGTGCTTGTTTTAATTCGTGGGCATTTGAAGTGTTTTTGAAACGTGGTCCTTCTTAAAGCAAGAAACCAAAATTGGGACAAAACGTTCCTTAGCAAGGCTCTGATTTGGTCCATTTGGCATCATTCAATTATTACACTCAAGCAAAACTACATCCCATGCCTCTGAAATTGCAGGTTCAGAGGAAATATTCGGAGGAACGGAGAGATAATAATACTTAATTAGCGAGTAGGTTAAAAATGGGGCGGTGGGGGGGAAGATTTGGCGAGCTGCTGCCTCCAGCCCTTAGGATGTGTTGCCCCTTTAGTGCTCTGGAAGTTGATTGTGATAAGAAGTTGATCATCTATCCGCTGTTATTTCTCCAAACCTGCATTAAAACCCTTCAATGTTTTTGTTTCAGTAAAGTCAGAGGCGTCCCTCTGCCCCCGCCTTCCTCACACTGCTCTGTAAACAGCCAAAGTAATACTTTAAGGCAGTTGGTTGCAAACAAACTTTGATTCCTGCTATAACAGATGTCAGAGTTTCTTGGTTTTTGGCTGCGTCTGGGGACATCTTGTGATGTTTTAGAGAACAGGACATGATCTCACATGGCGAGAAGCTCTTTAGTTCCTTAATCATTTCACGGTTCCTTCGGAGGCTTTTTTTCCACCTAAAACGTTTAGTTTCAGCTCAGTGATCAGCTGCAAAAGCTCGACGGGGAGCGGAAGAGTTGAATTATTCCAACCTGCAAGCAGCCCCTCACAAAAAAAAAAAAAAAAAAAAGGGGAAACTTTTTTATAAAAAAAAAAAAAAAAAAAAAAGTGGAAACTTTTTTCTCTGTCCATTTCACCCAAGTCCTGAAAAATCAGAATGGAATTAGAGAAAAACTACGCGACTCCAAGGACTGGCAGAACAGGTAGGACTCAACCCCTTGTTTTTCAAATAGTTGTAAATAAATCTTATATGCCGAGCTCTGCGTGTAGAGGGGCTGGTGCGTTGTACACGCGTAGTTTTTACAGAGATTGTACGCGTAGATGGGTAGCTGTGTGTGCCTGCGCGTGATACTTCAGGGTTATGTTTTGTACCAAATGTAAGACCCGGGGGGTAGAAAATAGGACTGGTGCGGTCACGACGAGGTTTCAAGGCTTGGTATAAATGGCTAGCCAGACACTTAATCAGAGCAGGCATCGTCCCCTGCCGCACGAAGGTGTGTGCCTGTACGTATCGGGGGGCTGAAGTGATTATATGGTGTTTGCCTGGTGATGTATCTTTTGGATCTTCAAAGGGATTATCTAGATTAACCATTTTCAAAGCAAGAGTCAACACTTACTCGGGAGCTTGACAGCCTTCGGCGGCATTAGGTGTGGAGGAGGCTGCCAGACATATGAAAACAATTTGCATTTGGTGCGGGGCTGCAGGCTGGGCTCGCGCAGGCACGCAGCTAGACGGGGCTCTGGGGGGGCGACGCCGGCCTGCAGCCAGCGGT